GGCTCCAGGCTCCGAGCTGTCAGCACAGAGCCCGATGCGGGGCTCGAACTCACAAACCGTGAGATCATGACCTGAGCCGAAGCCGGGCGCTCAGCCGACTGAGCCACCCAGGCGCCCCTCATTCCACTTTTTTTACACTTTCCAATGGGCTGTGATCAGATGAAGGTTCATGTCGTGTTCCTCGGCTCCCACACACATGGCCACACAATAAGTAACTTGACAAGTTACTCAACCTCCCCCCCCCTTCTTCTTTTCTTAATAGGACTTCTCCCCATTTCTATATTTTTTTTCTATTTCTGGGTTTTAAAACTGCTAACACACTGCACATCTCAAAGCCGCAGTTCAGGTGGAACTTGCTCAATTGTGGGATAGCACGTCAAAAAGTTAGAGGAATTGGAGGAAAAAAATCACTAGTGGCAGGCGGTAGATGCAACCAGGCTCTAATCCTCCCCCTTTTCACCAGAAGCCCCGCCTTCTGCTACCAGAAACTCTGGGATTGGTCCAACGTCCTCCACTTCCAGTTCCGTCAACCAATCAGAATAGAAAGTCCCCCTTCGCCCCGCCCCGCAAACCCTTCAAGTCCAAACCACTCTGAAGGAAGAAGTCAGCGCCCATTGGGCCGATCAAACACCGTCAGGGTCCCAAATAACCAAGCTCAGACTTCTGAAGTCTCAGCTCCCCAGAGGGGCTAGCGGGTGGTAGTGGTTGGAAGATGACTAATCTCCTGGCTGCCCCTCCCAGCGAGGGAGAACAGGAGGCTGTCAGCATCCTTAAGTGCTCTGAGGATGTTGGCAAGTGGGACATCACCCTGTGCCACTGTGCTTTAAAAGAGGCCGAGGTTAAGACCGGTGGGGATGGAAGAGTGCTCTGCTGGTAGAGGTCTGGGTTCCAGAGCCACCCTGTACCCCCTCCTGATGGTGAGCCACAGCACCACCCAGAATGTTTACAGAGCACTTTGACTTCATTCTCACAGCACTGTAGGATGGGTGAGGCTGTATAGTGGGGGTTCCGAGAGGTCGCATGATGTGGGCCAGGGACGCTGGGGGGTTTTCTGACTGCAAATTCAGACCCCACTGCCCACTCACCTCTCGGAGGTGCTTTGCAAGCTGTAAAGCAAGCAAATGCCAGTGCTGTTAATGCTGGAGATTTCCCTTAGTTGCTCTGAATTTTGTAAACACCTATACCTTGGGGTCCCTATTGGCTTTGGCCCTCACGCTGGGCTTGCTTATTTGGGCCTTTTATTTGGGAGAGCCTGATGTCTTGTTTGCCTTCTCTCAGGGCAGGTGGGCCCTACTGTCAGCCGGGCAGTGCTGTCGCTGTCTGTCATTTCTTTTGGGCCCATCCTCTGCCGCAGGGGCCTCCCCATCCTTGCCTTTCTCTCCCACCCCTCGTCCCCAACAGACCACCTTGGGTCTTCCTCCCTACCTTCTGAACACCTCCGCACCCCAGGATTCTTGTGTCCAGGACTTCCTCCTCCAGAGTTTGTGGGTTTTGACTGTTCTCCTCTCTGACCCCTCTTCACCCTCTGACTCTCCAAGCTGTGAGATCGAGGCTGAGACCCCTGCCCTCTCCCTGATCCAGTGACCCCTCTATCTGGGGAGTTCCCTAATCCACAAGTCAGGTCTTGACTTCCCAGGTCGTCTCCAGCTATCTGTGGGATGACATCAATTGGCTGATAGCAGAGAAATAAAATATGCTTAACAGGAACTGAACTGGGCACCTCGTATGCTTTTTGTCGTACAACTTTCGTGACCAGCTCATCTGCAGATAAGGAAGGAGACCAAAGATCAGAGGGTTAAGTAATTGGCCCCAAGTCACAGAACCAGAGAATCCATAAAAGTCTTGCTTAGGATTATAACACTGAAAGGAATCATCCAGATCATCTCAGAAGGCAAAGTATCACAGATGCCACATACTCCTGGTGACTCACGGTTTCCTCATCTGTAAAGAGAGCATAGCACCTAACTTCCAGTAAAGGTTGAATAAGATAATGAATGAAAAGTGCCTGACATTGCATAGAAATTCAATTAAAGGTAGGTGTTACTATCTAGCTAACTGGAACAGCAGTTCTCACATGTGGGGCACTGTAGCTTATACACTGGAATTCACACATAACCAGAAGCCCATCTTATTTATTCTTCCTTTGGGGCTGTCAGATGTTAGGAACTTCGTGAACCAGGTGATAGAAAGCTGGGAGACCATTGAGCTTGATGGTGAACTCTTTTTAGAACAAGGCTGATGTTACAGTTAACTTTATGCCTTTGGCACTTTGTTCAGGTCTTGGGCACATAGTAAGTCCTTAATAAGTATGTTACGAATGAATGAATGAATGAATGAATGACTTCAACCTGTTTCTAGAGTGGGGTAAGGCAAGACCACCTTTGACCACTTATCAAAGGTCACCCACTGGGTAGAGGTAAGACCAGATTCCCGGTATCTTAACCCCAAGCCAATGCACAACCCAGCCTCACGCTACATTTCTAAAGGGTCAGCGTGATGGCTCTGCTTAGAAGTCCCTGAAGTTCCGCCTCGTCTCTCCCCACTCATCACCAGGTTCCTCTCTCCAGTCCACATCATGCAACACCAGTAACATCTGTCATTCATTCATTCGGCAAACATTAATGTCATCTTCTATGGGCCTGGTTGACCCACTGCTGCTCTCAAAGACTTCAGTCGAGTTAGCCATCCACTTTTATTCTGGACAATACCTAATACAAACAAAAACAGAACAGGGGCACCTGGGTGGCTCAATAGGTTAAGCGTCCAACTCTTGATTTCGGCTCAGGTCACGAGTGGAGTGCCACATTGGGCTCCTCACTGAGTGTGGAGCCTGCTTGGGGTTTTCTCTCTCCCTCCCTCTTTGCCTCTTCTCTACTCACATGCACACCCTCCCTCAAAATAAATAAATAAACATTAGAAAAAAAATAGGACAGTACAGTGAAGCCCCACTAGCCTATCATTAGCTTCAACAATTATCAACTCATAGCTGATATCGCTCTACACGGCAAGCATCCCAATATTTTGAAACCAATTTCAGACATCGTATTGTTTCACTGGTATTGCAAGAAATCATTTTAATGGCATTATCACAGTGATATGGATGGAATTGTGCCTTCCCCCCAATTCGTATGTTGAAGCCCTAACCCCTAATGTGACTGTATCTGGAGACAGAGCCTGTAAGGAGGTAATTAA